AGATACCTATACTAAATTCTATATATATTATCTATTCGTGTTTATTATTATCATTATTATTTTAATATTAATTAGTTATTTTATATCACCATCTACACTCTATTATTACCTGCATTATTATTATATCTGTTTTTATATTTAATACTTATAACTGTCGAACTATAATAGTATTTGGTGAAAGTTCTAAATAAAAAAAAATAAAAATGAAAATCTGCCGTAACAACCAAACACTGGGCCCAGGGCAAAACTGCAAAACGCGCCATCGTGTATTTTTTAATTTAAGAATATTGTAATTATTACGTAGGTATTGTTTTCAATAACTGCTCGCGATTAACATAAAGTACTTTGAAGTTTTTGCAAATTAAATATGCAACATTGACCGTTGTAGTTTTTAACGTGAAATGCAAATTTTTCATTTTCACGCCTTCTCAGGAATCACGCCCTGGACCTAGGCGCACCTATGTAGCTTCCCCTTACTATGACTCCGTCAGTGGGTTAGGGGGTGCGGTACTTAAATCGTATTGTTGTGCAACAGTCACGGACAAACGGAAATTGGATAATAGTAACGGCGTGAGACAGACTTCGCAATACTAACACACTGCCGAATTGGCAAAAATTGCCCGAGCACGGAGGAGTAGATTGCGTATTCGCTCGTGTGGTGGCTCGATAAATTCGGTTCTCGACGATACCGTAACGCTCATGGCATACGTATTGATAGCGACGATGTAAACACAAAGATCGGTTTCACACTAGACAACGTGCGAGTATGTACTAGGACAATCAAACGACTTGGTAGTATGACTTGAGATCTCACATTGATGCATACTTGTTGGACACGTCCGCTGTGGTTGTTGTGAATATTTTTATGTTTACCTCTTTTTTTATTTTTTTGTATAACTAACATTTTGATAACACGCGTGAGTTTTTTGAATCTACAAGCATTCGCTTTCTTGGATTAAGATAGTTAATTTTTCAGTATATTCAATTTAATTCATGATTTTTCTCTCAAATATTTATTTTTAACAAAACTTTCATCATTCAAAAACTTTCAAAAAAAAATAAACTGTACTAGTTTTTTTGCAGGCAATCGCGCATAGCAGTACGACCAAAGCGGACTTAATCTGAGAGCGTTAATTACATTCTCAACGTCGGAATGATTTGTGCATAGTTGTGTCCGACTACGTACGACCAAAAATCGTGTCCTACTTAACTGTGCCATGCGTGTAGATAATATTCCCGTGCACATGGATCTTCGTGCATCGAGATCATCGCGCACGTACTGTACGAGGGGACAGATCGCGATGCTCGGCAATGATAAATAATCGTGTATATATTTTATATTATTGTTAAACATTTTTATGTATGGCACTGCAATGTGGTTAGGATTATTCATTTTTCTTCTTCCAGTACCTCCCCACTTTTAGATATTTTTCCCGTTTTTTTTTTCTTTCTTTTTGTTGAGTAGGTAACTCGTACGTATAAAAACATGTAAGTTCGTGACAGATACAGGTCTTCCAGTTAAATATTATCAAATATAATTTTTTATTCTAGATAATCTAAAATATGAAGCTTAAAGTTGAAGTCTAAATGCACCTCGGTTGTACACTGTATATTTCATAACATGTTTATAGCGATAAGTCGGTTTATGTGAACCATCGCCGAGGAACTCTAGTTGATTGTTTATTTATTTATCGGGAAGATTTCAGGCAAAATCATGTATTATTAGCAGACCAATTGAAGGGATGGTAATTTTTGATTAGGGTGTGTTTTTTTTATAATTTAGCTCAATATATGATTGTAACACCATTGAGCATTAATCTCCCATCTTATGTCATGATTGAACAAATTAATCAACATATCAAAGGATATAGAAATACAAAAGAAACCTACACGATTTTGCATAAAAAACTCCAACATTACCAATTTCAATTTTGAACTACATTAATACTTATTTTCCTCCAAAATATGTGTTTCTATTTTCTCAATTGAATTTTAAATGTTATTGCGTTGTCCAAAAGTTTCGATCACATTACGTTTATCTAACCCTGAGGAAATTATTTCTGACAATTTATTATTAGAACATCTACATCTCAAAAGATTATCTTTTTTTTGTTCTCCAATTAATTTATGTTTATATATATATTTTTTAAAAATAACCGAAGACTGTAACGATTTATACCCGTACGTCAGACTTGCTAAAGTTGAGGGATCCGATCGAAACCGCGACGGTCCGTTTTCGAAACGTTATCGAACTCAACACTATTAATCGTTCCATTCTTGTATTTTATTTATTTTTCAACATAACGCGACCGAATCATAATAATTATGATAATTATAATTATTATAATACTGTTTCTCGATCAACTCTTAGTCGTTATATCTTGAATAACCAAAGGGGGAACGGGAATAAATAAACACGACGTATATTTGCACCGGCGGCTTGGAACTTTGTACTTCATCAAAACTTTGTTTCTCGAAAGTGTATTGAAAGTTTCTGCCTCCTTCATCTCGTGGTTTTTCTTCCTGATAAAAAAAAAAAAATAATTTATGAAGTAAACATATTGAAACTGGCTGGCGTTCACCGGTACCCGTCACCTGTATGCGGAGCACACTCGTCAACTTCGTTTTCTCGCAAGTCCCGTAAAATCTTGAAAAATCAAACTTGACGATTTTCGATGAAATAAATGTTACTATAATGAGGCAAAGATATATTATCTTAATCAGTAGCAAAAAAAAATTAATATTTGTGTATTTTTCTGCCATATTTGTATAGCTTTCGACAATTTTTCGAAATTATTAAGAAAATTGTTGGAAGAGTCGTAAAATGACCCTCTTTAATGTACTAAATAGACAATATTTTTTATCAGAAATCTGTTAATGGCTGTGATGATCGAATTAAAAGTTCTTTTCAAAATCGTGTATCAATCTCAAAAAAAATAAATAAGTAGTGACAAAATAATATGTGGTTATTAATAGTGAGGGTTTGAATCTTGGTTGAAATTTCATGTTTATTGCAATTTTTCCCCTTCTCCCTCGATTATTTGAAAAACTGTTGAGAAATTCAAAAAAATATTTCTCAATAGTACCAATATCCCATTGCATATATTTTTCTTGTTTTTTCATTTGATAATGATGGGAGCAATCTTATGGGTCGAAATCGTATACATAAAAACAAAACAAAAAAAAAAAATACATATCATAGTTAAACTAGTTCATCTGTCGTTTCACTCTGGATCTAAAAGAAGCACATAAGAAATAATTCGAATTTCTATAACATGAACAACAACTTATGATGATGATCAGTAGTAAAATTCTACTAATCCTATAAAATACGATTGCGCCCTAAGAAAAAACAACCTACGATATTATTAAATCGTAATAGTATAATGTATGGTTTACGAATAATATATTATCATTAACTCGGGAAAACAATTTGCAAAAAGCAAACGCTAGAATTCGAGACGTGAAATATGTCAACGAAAAAAATGAAATAAACAATTGTATGAAACACAGTAAAAATGTTTATTAAAAATCTTTTGAAAGGAACAAAAATGCACTTATAATCATTAAAAAAAAAAAAAAAACAGTCTATATTTACGTGTCCATTTTTTTCCGCATTTTCGCATAAATGTTTAAAGGGAAAAATAGCACACTCTTTTTATTATTATTCAACCATGTATCATGTTTGTTTTAGTTTTTTTTTTTTGTAACATTCGCGTTTTCGTTTATCTAATTTTAATATACATCGATCTAAATAAATGGATTAAACATTATAAATTAAATGATATCTAGATTATAAAACTATTAATATTATTTTATATGATCAGTGAAATTCGATCGTCGATATTTTTTTGTAAAGTCAACAAAAAAAGAAAAAAATATTTAAACAAACATAATTTTATTTGATATTATTTTATATGATATTTGATGGAATACATTCGGTTTTAATGATGTACAAAAATATTGCATTTATTATTATATGCTTCTGAACAAAATGTGAATGATTATTTAACGCTTGTTTTATTTTTTATTTTTTCTATATTCACGAAGAAAAATAATTGGTCATTTGGACTTGTTTGAATTATTTTTATAAAAGTTATAAAATGATCAGACATTTTTCGGAAATGTCTAAGCTGATAACTACTATGCGAAATATAGTTTATTATCCTATTCTGAGTGTAAATATTGTAAATATATACATGATATTTACAATGTCTCCTAAGTTTTGTAACCCTACCGTAACAATTGAACAATTGAAAGTCTCACGACGATATTGATATAGATGTCTTTCCATCGTTATAGCTGTCTTGCATTATTTCGTCTTTTACGAAAATTTATATTTCAATATTCGTCTTCATTTAATTAGCATTTAAATTACAACTACTTTCACTAAGCCAATTGGAAATCCCAAATTAAAAACACTACTATAGGTTTTTTCAATTAAATATTTGGATTTATTCCCGACAAGTTTCTACTTTAGAACTAACTTTTCATTCAGAACAGCATTTTAGAATGTATCATTCTAATTATTAAATTTTATATTTATGAATCACCTACCAACATTCTATATACATAGGACCTTTACAAAATATATTAAGTATATTTTACTTTAAGTTTAAAACCTATACTTAAATATATTATAATAAATATTAATTATTTATGCGCACATTTTTAAAATGCTTAATAAATTTGAACGCACCGAAAATCATTCAAATCCATTTAAATACAAACGTCGTTCACGTTCACATTTTATTTGAAAAAACCAATTAACGATCGTGTGTCGTTCACAAAATATGAGCGTGATGAACATGCGTTCACGAATGACGTTCTTTCCTAAATGTGATGAATTAATAAATACAACCGAAAAATAAAACAATAGGTACACGTGTTCAATGTATATGTATAGTGAAGCTTCAAACAATTTAGAAAGTTATATTAAACTGTTATACTTTAATATTTTTTTGGTGTTTTCATGTGTAATAGCGTTTATTTTTTTATAGGATGGCTTACGAAGAAGAATGGATAAGCTAAAAAGTTCAATCGAAGAGGCAAATTTGGCCGTTGACAAGGAAAGAGAAAAGAATGTCAGTCTATTGCACATGATTTTTCCACCAAACATTGCCAAACGACTGTGGCTTGGTAAGTACTTCGTAGATGTATAGTTTTAAAAATATCCATTTTATTCAATTTTATTTTTGCATGAACTAATTGTTTGATTATGATCAATTCTCATTCTCCCTCTTATCGAAAAAAAGTAAATAATCGTAATCTCGTTTACAGCATCGTTTAAAATTTCCATTAAGTTGACATTATACATTCTACTTCCTATTTCTCCCTCTCTCTCTCTCTCTCTCTCTCTCTCTCTCTCTCTCTCACACACACACACACACACACACACATAATTAATTGTACATTTAAGAGAGATAGAAAAGTATAATATATTACTTGAATTACGAGACAAGCCTATGGATATGGTTACCGTACACATTAGATAGGAATGGTTTAAAAATTGAAACTCAAATCATAATCACTCTATATTATCAAAAAACAGATTTCTTGATTAAAAATGTGTTTAAAATTTTTTTTATTTTCCTTCAGCATTAGTTTTTGTTTTTTAGCGAATACATACTGGTTATATATTAATATATTTTATTTACCTTAACCCAATATATGAAAATGGCGTGTATATTATACTAACGTAAAGTATTATTCTGGTTACTTTAAATAGCATGCGAAATCGATTGACAAAGAATCTAGATATAACGCTTCAAAAAAAAGAATGGGTGAATTTATCTCATCGATCTCCCAGATTCCAGTCGTGAACTCGCTATGGTACGTTTGTGCGATCGATACGGCTTTCTAATTGAATATATTATATATTTAATACGCAAGCAGTTCAATGCAATTCCGAGCTAATTCAATGCTATTAATACTGGCATAATTGGTTACCACGATGGAGTAGAGTTTTTATTATTTCACCTGATCGTTTCTCAAGTGTAATAATTTACTAAACAGTGGGCGTAGATAAGATTTTAGCGTGTAATTTTTCAAGCGCGTGCTCATCCGGTGCGGGATATATTGGTCAAGAAATAAATTTTACACAAAGATACGAGTAGGCATTAATATTGTATCGGAACTGTAATATACTGTGTCAAATTTTTTTCTTCCTGTAAAACCAGGGCTTTGCACCCGAATTAACCCGAACCCGTAACACCTCTAAAAACCCTTAAAAAATCAAACACCCAAAACCCATATAAACCGAATGATTTTTTTTTTAAACACCCGAATTAACTAAAACCCGAATAATTTTTTATTTTACAATCTTTATGTGACATATTATTTTGTATGTATTTTTTGTGGTTATTTCAATTTTGTCATTAGTTTTTTAGTAGTAAAATTATTATTCACAGGAATAATTTCATAAATAATATACAAAATTGTTAATTAATCTAAATGTATCTAAATAAAGACAATAGCAATATATCATATTGACAGGTGTGTATGAATGGTGTGGTATGTTGAATGTTTAAGTGTAAACAACTGAGATACTATTTTTAAAATTATCCCAAGCGGATGTGTCGTACTATTGTAATTTAATAGGTAATAGGTCTACGAATCACCGAGTCGTTATTTATTGCAATACCGTAAGTCTGAAATAGAATTGATGTCTCGCGTATGATTACCTAAACAGTAATGCCATGTTGGCCTTTTTAATGCCAAATCTGGCTTTTTTCATTTCAATCTATCTGACAAAATGCCCAATCTAGCTCCTGGCTTTATTTAGCCATTAATTGCTTTTAACTAGCTTAGTTCTGGTTTAAGTTATATATAATATATTTTAATTAATTATTGGTGTATATAAGTATAATATTACACGACATTGATATCATGAGTTTTTCCCTTAGGTTTCGTTATCACTCCATATGATATACCATATTTAGGCCGGGTTACATAAACATCCTGTAATTACTTACAGATTTGTAAGTACGTTAACGGAACCGTAAATAAAATTAGGTGTTGCTTGAACGCTCGGTAAAGTTACCAGCTCTGTAAATTTTGGGCTACCGGAACTGTAAACTGCAGATCCGATTTGGGCTCTGTAACTAGTTACAGATCAGTTAAAATAATATAGTATTATTATGATAAGATAAACATGTTTTATTATCAATATTATCAATATTCAATTTATATTATATATTTTTTAGTTTTTGCGATTTATAAAGAATAAAAATAATTTTAAGTTATTATAGCTACGCACAATTGTTTTAAAATTTATTTGGTAACCACGGTTAATATTTCTTTATCAAATAGGTCTTTATGCAACCCGAGAATAGTTTACACAATCATTAAAAACCTTACCAAGCCGATAAATTTCAGGGCCGGTAACAAATTTACAGACTGTTCCTTATGCGACCCAGCCTTATAGTTGTTAACATAACAAATTATATTTATCTGTGGTTGTTAACTATAAATCGGATTTACATTCATATCTAGTTAATAGTTAAAACTTTACACCTTGGACTAGTATATCTGAGTTTGTGCCACGATTATAGATTTGTGATTCAAAAGACTTTAATTTAATATTTTAACATTTTTTAGGTATTACCTATTTATTTTGTTATGTTATTTTTATTACTTATTGATGTATTTATTTACTTTTTTGTTGTTTTAATGCTAGACTGCTAAGAACTATAAAAAAGGATAAACTATTAATTATGTTGATTAATTTTACTATATAAAAATATTATGATTTTTATAATATTTATAAATATTTTATAATTTTCATCAAAAGGCTGATTAAAAGACCAATTTACTCATTTAACATTTTTTTAAATATTACCTATTAATTTTGTTTTATTTTTATAACTTATTACTTTATTTACTTGTTTGTTGTTTTAATGTTGGACTGCTCAGAACATTAAAATTGAATAAACTATGAGTTATGATTATTTAATATCTTTATTTATTGTATTTAATGTTTTAATAATATTAATTACTTGTAAAATATGACAAAAAGACTAATAGTTTTACTAAAGAAAAATGGAAATTGCTAATAATTTTTAAATTATTAATATTTTTATTTTTGCGTTAATATGTTCGTTACTAATCGATTTTTTTTTTTTTTTTTTTAGCTGATTTCTTGCCTTTTGTGATAGTACTTATAGCTTTTTAAAAAAATTATAACTGGCAATACTGAACCTAAATTGTTGTTCACGTTATTCGTATTTGTTCAGTGTATAGCGTAAATTGTAAATTTTTGTTGGTGTAATAATTTCATCGTAATATTCATAAGTAGGTTTAGGGACTTATAGCTCTAAAAAATACACAAATATGCATACAAATATGCTTTTAAAATCATTAAAATATGCATTATAATATGAATTTATATGCATTAAAAAAAAAAAAAAAAATGACCAGTGTTAGTACACAAAATAAAACGTGTCCATCGGATTTAAATATATTTCTAAACTTTAAAACAAAACTTTGTAATCGGCTACTCGTTAACTGTTGTACTTTCGACATAACACAATGTTACAAATTATCGCGTACGACGTTTTACGTATGATTCGACGTTGTGTGGTTGAGAGACGCAAAAACAACGACGGATAATAATCGACTGAACTGAACACTAAACAAATAATCTATTATTCTATATAAACTATTATTATTATTATTACTATTATTATCTTTATCGACATCCGGTCAATATCCAGCGGGTTATACAGTTGATACGGGTTTATAGTATTATTTATACTTATACAAAAATTATAACGAGATATGAGAGGTAGTTTGCAAATAGCATATTACTGGAAGTATTAAGTCCTCTTTTTTTCGATCAGTTGAAATATGTATATATATAGTAGTATATGTAGTTATATGTATCTATAGTTTTTAATTTTAAATAATACAATTTGAGAAATTTGTCAAAATATGTAAAATAAGCATATTAATGTTAAAATAAGCATTCTCCTGTAAAATCTATCAAATATGCAAAAATATGCTCATTCAAATTTTAGATCTGATATCATAGCACCGAGAAATGAATTTATTTCACACTCGGCTATATTTAACGATAGTTAAAAAAAGTATGCAAATGCTAGAAGTCCTTAAGCTTATTCATAAGTATAAATTATTATTATGTTTGTATTACGCTATTTCCTAGCTAATGCGTTTTTATTTTTGCACACACCACAAACCATAAGCGGAAATTTGGTGAAATTTGTGGGGGGCTGAGCATTATTTGCTTATTACACCTATAAATACTACTGTGCGCAATTATTTATTTTAACAAGGCAATTTACGAAGTTTGACAATTTGACATTTTTAATCAACAATTTAAACAAAAAAACAATTAGGTGCCTTATCTTAAACATTTTTGGAGTAGGTATTCTAAACAGAAATTATTAATTCATTAAATTAAACAGCCTATACGGGCATTATTACATATTAATATTACATTAATTTCGATCGTTCCAAATAAGAAGTTTGTAAAATCTTACGAATTTGATTTAATTTTTATCACAGAATTTTTTTTTTTTAATTCAGTTATTAAAAATGCATTTTACGATTATATTAATTATCGTATTTTTAGTCACATAATAATTTGTAGGGCTAGGGAGGCTAAAAATTGTACTTTATATTTCTTAGTCCCCTCAAGCCCCTCCCCCCGATTTCCGCCTATGCCACAAACACAAACGCAGAATACAAAATAGTTTGTTTTTTGTCAAATGCGATATGCCCACACTAACTAGGAGTAGAACATAGTGTTAGTATTTTTACTTTTAATAGATATTATAATTTATAAGCTTCATACACATGTAAAATAACCTCCTCTTCCCCGAAAATAAATCGTAGTTACACCATTGCTTGAAATTAACATAAGGATAGTTAAAAACAGTTGCACAGTTGTATAAGAAATTAATATTTTATTACATAGGCAGGTAACAAAAAATATAAATATTTCATAAGTGGAGGGGGGCTCAGCCTCCCCACCAAACTCCACCAATGAAAAATAATATTTTTTCTTGACTACTTAATACCCGTATTAACCAATATTAACCCGAATATATTCAACACCCGAAACCCGAAAAAATTATTCGGGTGCAAAGCCTTGTGTAAAACATAGATTTTTTAACTGT